AGAGAGAGAGAGAGAGAGAGAGAGAGAGAGAGAGAGAGAGAGAGAGAGAGAGAGAGAGCTTGGTGACATTTGGATCCAGACTCGACCTTGGGCTTCAGACATTTGATGAGGGGTTATTTGGGACTTGTAACTAAGACTTGGTGGGTGTTGACGACATTTCCGTCTCCCCCCCCCTCTTCTTCGTCTGATTCCCTCCTCTTCGTCTGTGCATGATCTGGACCTGGCGCCTTCTGCCTGTGTGTAGCACCAGGCCCCTTCACACCTTATGATGAGGATGATGTATGTTTGATCTGCATTGCGACATTGATTGGGCTAGTCATTGGTATTGTAGCAGTCTGATACACTTTCTTGTACTTCGTGAGGGAGGTCAGTCCCGGTCAGGTCAGGACTTATATCCAAGTCTTCCGCTGCGCTACAAGGCACCATTTTGTATGTATCAGGATGCACATTGCTTGTTGAGATTCTACTAGCACTGCATTGTCCATTCAGTCCTTTTTATCACATTGCGGATCCTTGGTTGGTTATATATGTACATCGCCCAACTGGGCATGTAACAACTGCCTGACGCAGCTGCTTCTTCTGGAAGAGCCCAGGGTGAGGCCCGGGTTGGACTTCAACCAACTGGCGTGCAGCAACTGTCTGAGACCCACATTGAATAGACTAGTGAGAGGATGAGATAGATGCATACTACCAAGAAAAAGATGAAATAGATTGAGAGAAGAATATAGATTACTTAAAAAAAAAAAAAAATGCTGAGATAACGGCCTCTCATGAATATTCAGGCCCGCCTTCGCTGAGATGAGGGCGGGCATGAGGCTTGCTGGGGGCCACAGTCAGAACATATGCATGTTGTCTAGGGGCCCCTGACGACACATTCCTCACATTAACATTTTTCTTTCGCTTTATTTGTTATTGATTATTTATTAATATTATTATTGATTTATTTTGGTGGTGTTGTGTCTGTGTGTGTGTTTCTTTTCCTCTTTTTTTTTTTCTTTTTTTTTTTTCCCTGTCGTTTTTGGACATAGCTGGACGAGCACGAGGAGCTTATCTGGGACGACGGGACGGTGAATCCGGAACCCGCTCTTGACGAAGTTGCGCCCATGATAGGCAAGGTGCGTGCGCACATTTTAATTTTCAGTGCTTAAGCTTTTTTTTTTTTGGTTTTGTTTTTTAACGTGCTATGATGATGATTGATTTATTAATTTTGTTAGTAATGAATTTCCCTCCTGCTTGTTTTTCTTCCTGTTTATTAGTTTATATTTATGTCATTTTTTATGATTTTTATGAAAAACAATTCATTCTCCTCCTTCCTTCTCCTTGGTTTTCCGTCTGAATTGCGGGCCCTGTTTTTTCCCTCCTCCCATTTGCTGATTCTGGTTTTCCGTTTGAAGTATGATCCTTGTTATCTCCTCCTCCTCCTCCTCCTCCTCCTCTCCGCCCTCTTCTTTCTCCTCCTCCTCTTCCTCCTCCTCCTCCTCCTCCTCCTGTCTTCTTCTTCCTATTGTTCGTCATCTCTGATGATTCTGGTTCTCCATTTGAATCATGATCCTTGCTCTTCTCGCCTACTCCTACTCCTCTGCTGTCTTCCCCCCCCCCCCCCCCCCCCCCCCCCCCCCCCCCCCCCCCCTCCGCTGCTGTTTGCTTCCTCTTGTGTACGGTTGTTTGTTTTTTGTTGACATCTCATTTGCTGCTGTGTTCCTCTTGTCGGCATCTTTTTGTCCGTTTTCATTTGCAGTATGAGGCACTTGCGTACGTCTCCATGGGTTTGGGATTCTTTGGCTTGCTGACAACAGCCGCGTGGTACAACGACAAGGCCTCTAAGATACCCTATGTAAGTCCCTTTTTGTTGTGCCTTAAGCCACAAGAACATCCGAAAAAGGAGAATTGAGAGCCTCTCCTAAAAAATGGGAGGCCATGAACCGCAGATTTCATTTTATCGACGGTCCATGGCCTCCAAATTTTTAGCAGAGTTTGCTCAAACTTCCTGCATGAGTTTTCTGCCTCGACCCCCTTCCTGCTTCCTGCCCCAAGTTTGGTTACCCCTTTCCCCTTTCCTCTTTCCCCTTTCCCCTCCCCCCCGCCGCGTCTCCAAATTTTTGTGCCTTGGATTTTATTTTTTATTTTTTTTTTGAAAGCTAAGCTATATTCTTCTCTCAAATTCACCTCTCACTACCTACCTACCGGCACTCCTAAGCCTACACAGGGGACTCCTGCAAGTGGTCAGGGGGTAGGGTGGGCTGCTGGTGGGGGAGGCCGAGTATCGCGAAGACGGAGCATTCCGCCAGTCGCTGCGCCTCCCATCCGGCTTCCCCGTCCTCGTTGAGTCACAGCAGTGTCTTTTTCACTCTTCAAGGGCCGGGTATCGCAAAGACCGAGCATTCTGCGAGTCGCTGTGCCTCCCATCCACTTTCCCCATCCTCGTCGAGTCTCAGCCGTGTCTTTTTCACTCTTCAAAGGCAGCGGACTGAAATTCTCTCTTCCGAAAAAGTGAGCTGACTGAACTTCCTTTTCGAACCCTCTTTTCATGCCAACTACGTCCTGGCCTAAATCCATAAGAGTTAGGTTCAAAAATTGCTGAGAGGATGGGTAGGGAGGTGGTCTTACGGAGCATAAGGGACTGGCAGGACAGCCAGTAGCTGTGGAAGTAACCCCGTGTGTCCGGAGTCCGGCTTCGGCAACAACCTGGGCTCAAAAAAAAAAAAAAGGGGGGGTTCAAAAAGGGCCTCCTGTTGGGGTTCTAGAAGCATTTTAGCTAATAGCCTAATACCCCTTTTTTTTTCGCTAATGCCTGTTGAACTCGATGCAAGAGAAAAAGGAAGTGGTTGTGTCCCGGTGGGATCCCAGCCAGTCCTAGGCGGAGCTTTGCCATCGAAATTCAGTGTTCGAACGAACTCCATCGAGGCCGTCGAACTTCAGCGCTCATGTGTGGATGGGGTGCGGAGCCATCTGTCTTCTCTTGCATACCCCGGTGTAAACGAAACCTCCCCATCACCTCGTCCTTTCTTCTCTTGCGGTCGTTTCCTGACGAAGGGTTGCCCATAGTGACATGTGTGGATGGGGTACAGAGCCAGCACCAGTAGAAGAGGAGGCCATTGGCAGGGCTGGTTTATATTGGGTGCGGCGTGGGGTGCAAGGCTTCGAGTGTCCTCACGTCGGCATACAATTCTCGGCTCCTTTGCCAAAAAAATCCGGAAAACAAAGGATCATGGGTGTATGGTAGGTCGTACCCAGTTTTAGAAAAAAAAATTATAAGAAGTAAAATTTTTAAAAAATGCCAGGTTGGGATACCATGAACTGTTGAAATACAGACCTGAGTTCCAATCCAGCACAATGAGCTTAGCGGAAAAAAAAAACAAAAACAAACAAAACAAAACAAAAAAAAAAAAACAATGCTGGCATGGAATGAAGGTGGTTGGTCCTCTCTGCTGTGACCGGAGAGGATTAACCAAAAAATTCAGGCTCGGACGACTGGGGTCAGTGATGGCAACAAGTTTGGGCGTAGGGTATTGATGTTACACGTCCCCACACCCCCACTTCCCCCACCCCCCATTCCCCCCATGCCCCCCCTTTCCCCCCTTCCCTCCTCTTACCGCCCGTTTCTTCCCCTTCCCTCCCCCTCCCCCCCTAGCAGGACGTCAAAAGATGCCAGATGCTCGGCTACCAAGTCTGATGGCATACCATCACCCCTCCTTCCCCCCTCCCCCTCCCCCCTTTGCCCCTGCTGTCCCTTGCTCCCGCTTCTTCCCCCTTTCCTGGCCCCCCTCTTCTTCCTCCTAGCAACCCTTAACAATGAAAAAGCCTGCTTAACTGGGTGATTTGATGGGTGTTCCCTTTGCACCCACAGTACCTTGCTCTCCGCCCCCTCCCCCCCTCCCCCCTCCCTCCCTGGCCCCCCTCTTCTCCCTCCTAGCAATCCTTAACATTGAAAAAGCCTGCTTAACTGGGTGATTTGATGGGTGTTCCCTTTGCGCCCACAGTACCTTGCTCCCCCTCCTTCCCCCGCCCCCCTCATCTCCGTCCTAGAAACCCTCAACAACGAAAAGACCTGTTCGACTGAATGATTTGACGGCTGCATGTGGGTGTGATATGGACAGCCAGCATTGAGGTACTGAAAATTTTTAGGGGGAAAAAGTGTGCAGAACCTGGCCTTCAAAACCAGCTCAGCAACAAATATTGGTTTGAAATACGATTGAACCAAGCTCTGTGGCAAGCCCTAAATGTGAGCAGCAAGGGCCTCGGCTGGTAGAAATAGGGTTTCTCATTTATGTAGCTTGTATCGCGTCCAAGGGTCGGTCAAGGCCTGTCTCGGAGCCTTGTGGTGGAAGGTCTTCTTGCTTCCGGTCCGAGGGCCTTGCTGCTCTCGTCAGGCATCTCTCTCTCTCTGTGTGTGTGTGTGTGTGTGTGTGTGTGTGTGTGTAACCAAAAAAAAAAAAACTTTCAAAAGCACAAGCATACCAAATTACCAATGCATGTTATTCGAAGTGGGAGAGCTTCAGCGAGCGCCCATAGTCGCTGCTCACCAAAGACCAGTCGCACACGCACACACACACACACACACACACACACACACACACACACACACGAGGTGGATTTGCCCTTGAAGGAGACTGATGCAAATGGACTTGAGCACTCGTCACCCACTTAGCAAACGGGTACACTGGATTATACACGCCCATACGACAATCAGGAGGCCAACCAGCGTCCACCTACACCCCGCTCATTGCCAGGCTCATGCTTTTCACTGCCATCCATCCGAAGGCCGCGGACGTGTTCAGGTGCTAAGGCGTATGGGGAAAGTGGGGCGTAAGAAAAGCGGAATGCATATGTCAGAGGGCGTGAACTTTCCTCTTCATGCCTGGAACGTGATAATGGCTCACGGCTTACAAAATAAAAAAGAAAACCACACGTATTTTACGAATCTTGAATTAAAAAAACATTATCCCATTTCTTTTGAATAAAAAAAATGCTTTTTCCAGTGCCACTTGGTTGAGTTACCTCAACTCAACGGTGCATGTGGGACAAGGTCCCGGGCCGGGCCAACAAATAAAAATTAGAAAACATAAATAAAATTTGGTAAAGAATGTCGATGTGACCCTGAGGCCAGAGTTGTTCAGTTTATTTTTCTGCATAACATAGTTTTTTTTGTTTTGTTTTTTTTTGCCGGGCACCTTTCTTGGTTGAAATCATACTCGACTTCTTCACACTTGTCATGTATGCAAACAGCGAAACAGCAACTGGCGACATGCGCCCACACAATACTCAAGATATCGTAACCAGATATGAGTTCTCTTCAACTGGCTATGGCGACTGGGCGCCCACACAACTCACTGTTCACACTCTGGATCACCCTGGATGTCCCACAC